CGGGTGTGGACACGCCATGCGGACCCTGACGTTGGGGCCTTCGGCGGAACTCCTTGTGAGGTTACGAAACGTGTGACGGCTGTGCCGCGTCGGTCGCGGGTACGCCATGCGGACCCTGCCGCTGGAGCCTTCGGTAGAGCTCTCTATGTGGCCACGAAACGTGTGAGGGGTGTGCCGAATCGGGCGCTGGTACGCCATGTGGACCCTGCCGTTGGGGCCCTCTGTGGAGCTCCCTGAGGCCACGAAACGTGTGAGGGGTGTGCCGAACCAAGCGCGGGTACGCCATGTTGACCCTTCCGTCTGGGCCTTCGGTGGAGCTCCCTATGGGGCCACGAAACGTGTGAAGGGTGTGCCGAATCGGGTGCGGGTAATTACGCCATGTGGGCCTTCCCGCTGGGGCCCTTGGTGGAGCTCCCGATGGGGCCACGAAACGCGTGCGGGGTGTGCCAACATGGTGGACATGCGGAGAGCAGAGGCAAGGAGAGGGAGCAAGGGGAGGAGGAAGGAGGAAGAGTGGGACGCGGGGCGCCGTCTCTTCGAAACGAAGACCCAGCACCACAGGACGGCTGGGAATAACTAGTCACCCCCCTAATTACTGTGTGTGGGGGGGGGTCCTTTCAGACCCTCAGAGGCTATATGAAGGGGCCCTGGGACACGCAAGTAAACAAACACCTTCCCCATCTTTTCTCGTGTTTTCTGGGTTTTCGCCTTCCCCCCCCACTCCCCATGCTTTCCCATCTTTTCCTGGGGATCGAGGATGAATTGTGCCTGTGTCTGTCGTTGCCCAGGCGTGCATCGGCCAAACATAGCGCCCGCCGCCGAGCACGTGCCAGACGCTTGTCTGGCAGGGGGGGGCCCGACGCGCACACGCTGCGCGCACGCCCGGGCGCTGCGGGTCCACGGGCAGCCCCCCGACACGACGAAGGCCGACACGGGCTGCGTGCTGCCGACGGGGGACGAACACTCACAAGAAGGAAGGGGCCCTGGGGCACACAAACGAATACACACAAAGAGAAGGATTCCCCATATGTTCCGGGTTTTCGTCTTCCCCCTCCCCCCCTTCCAATAGTTTCCCGCATTTTCCTGGGAGTGGACAATGAATTGTGTCTGTGTGTTTGCTTCCCTCCTGAAATAAGAAGGAACCAAAGCAACGACATAAACGTAACAGCTCGGAGGTCCGCGCGGATTTCTCGGATCGGCGCAGGATCCCCCCTCCCTGGCGCGCGGAGCGCGCCAGGGGCGGCGCCGGAGGCGTCGCCAAGGGGGCCATAGTGCCGATCCGAGGAATCCGCGCGGACCTCAGAGTTGTTTTTACTTCTGTCATTGTTCGTTCCCCTAACGTTGGGCGAACACACGTCCTGAGGACCACCGCGCTGAAGCCGCGGGGGCCTCCGCGGCAGCCGGCGGCGCCCGCGTCACGCTGGCTCCCCCCGGCCGACTAACGTTGGGGTGCTCGGGCGCGGCGCGCAGACCGGGCCGAGCCTCCGCGGCCTCGCCGGCGGCAGGTCCTCCGCGGCCTCCCCGGCCGCCGCCGCCGCGGCGCGCGGCGGGCCCCCGGCCGAAGGCACCGGTCCACCCGCCCCCGCCCTGCTCCAGAGGAAGGAAGAACGGCACCGGCACAAACTTTGGGCGCTCCGCGCGGAGCCTTCGGATCGTGCGCCGGGGTTCCCCCTCCCTGGCGCGCGGAGCGCGCGAGGAGCGCGCCGGGGGCGGCGCCGGAGGCGCCGCCGGGGGGGGGGGGCCCGGCGCGGATCCAAGACATCCGCGCGGACGCTGACCTTCCAGCAGGGCTGAAACATAGCACCGGACTTCAAAACCTATCCCAAAGCCATTCTACGTCTTGATTGTGGGATGTTTCGTTCCGTTTTTTTTTTTTTTGGGTTTTAGGTTTTTAGGCATGCAGTGCTGAAAAATGGCTCTCTGGAAGGTCAGGGGAGCGCCAACAGTTTATGTGCATGGCGTTTTTGCTTCTTCGATTCTCAGAGGGCTCCCGCTCACTGAGCCTGGACGGCAGGGCGGCCTCGCCGCGCGCGCTCCGCTGCAGCGGCAGGAGCAGGACCTATAGAGGCGGCCTCCTACGTGGGGCCCCGATCGGATGGGGTCGGAAGATCGCGCCGCATCGCCGATGCATCGCCGATGCATCGGCGACGTCGGCGATCGATGCATCGGCATTGTCGGGGTGGGAATACTCGGGCTCCACATCGAGCCGCATCGCCGATGCAGCGCGATCCTCCGGCCCCATCTGCTCGGACCCCACCTGGGAGGCCTAGAGGACCAGCAGGCCGTAGAGCGCGATGCACGCGTGCCCCGCCCGGCGCCAGGAGGGTGCCGGCCCGGATGCCCGCGGCTCCGTCGCGGCACGCGGGGGCCGAGGCGGGCGCATGGCCCAAGCGGCTCCCCATCGGTCGGCGCCGCAGGAGGGGGCCCTGGGAGGGGGGCTGGGCGGCGCGCCAGGCCAGGCGGGCTCAGGCCGGAGTGGCCCCTGGGGCCAACATGGCTTACGGTGCGGGCATTGGATTGTAGAGAGCAGTAGAGCCAGCGAGCACGTTGAGTAAACGCACCCTGGGGTGGAATCGAACACGGCAGGGCTGTTTAGTAAACGCCCAGGGCCGTTCAGCAGAAGCCAATTATTTGGGTCGGGTTGGCTTTTTTCTTTCTTTGAGGGGAGGAAGCCTCAAACGAGGAACCCAGGGTCTGGAAGCTGGCGGAACACCAACTGAGGCTTGGTCATGGATATCACCGCCGCCCTCAGCAGAGAAATAATAATCCAGGGTCCGAAGCCTCCTGGGCGCATTCCTTGATGAGCGCTCCCGCCGCACTCTGGAGCCAGTGTTGAGGGCCGGGCGGTGTTTGAAGATCCTTGAGCCTCGCAAGCTTCAAAAACAGGCCATCCTGACGGCGTCGGGACTCTTCGGGCTGTCTGAGGCTCCTGTTTGCTTATTGGATCCTATTGGGGCACTCTCGGAAACATATTGGGGCCTCTTGTGGCCATCTTGGGGCTTTCGCACGGGAAGGCAACGATGGCGCGGAGGGGGAGAGGGAGGAGGACGCTAATCACATCCTGGAAAGAAATCCGCCACCGTGCCTGCACGGAGTGGGCGTGCAATGCTTGTTTGTTGTTTAATCTCTCTCTCTCTTTTTCTCTTTTTCTCTCTTTCTCTCTCTCTCCCCCTCTCTCTCTCTCTATATATATATATATATATGATCTAGTTCTAAGGTCGACCCCACCATCGGCCTCCAGATGGTCAAGATGGCCTCCTAGAGGGCTTCTAAGACAGCCGAGAGAGCACCAAGCGGCTCAAGGTGGCCCAAGATAGCTCAAGGGCTTTTCGAGACAACCTCAAGACCGCCCAAGGCGCCCTCAAGACGGCCCAACAGGGCTCCGAGAGGCCTCCAAGACGGCCCAAGAAGCTCCACATTTTCCTGGACAGCCCAGGGGAGGGCCAAAACCAATGATCCCCCTTCGGTTTTTGACGGATTTTGGAATGTCTTCCGGCCGCCCACTACGGCCCAAGAAACCCCCAAGAGGTTTCCACGATAGCTCTACGACAGCCCAGTGGCTCCCAAGAGGGCCCCGAGTCGGCTCAACAGGACCCAGAGATCGCCCAAGGGTCTCCCAAGAGGGCCTCAAGAAGGCCCTGAGCTCCAACAAAACAATAAGACGGCCCATGATTTGTTGGGGTCTTCTTGGGCGCCCGGAAACCCCGAACGTGCCAGAACATCAATAATTTTGGCTTCGTCGGGTTCCCCGGGAAGGCCGCATGGAGACCAATTCGGAAGTTTTGGGGGCCTCTTGATCTGTTTTGGGGGACTCATTGGAGGCCTCGTGAACTCCCAGACAGCTCTCCAAACAGCCAGGACGACAACAAAACAACTCTAGATAGCCCAAGACAGCTCAACAACCACTGAAGACAGCCTCCAAAGAGCCCTGAAGGCTTCAAAAACTGCCCAAACGGTCCCCAAGATGTCCTCCTGGAGAACCCGGAAAAGCTCACACCATCTATTTGACTTCATGGGTTTTGAACTTCTCGCGCGTTTGGGTTTCCGACCGCCCAGAAGGGCCCCAGAGGCTCCCACGGAGCCTCCACGATATGTATATATATGTATATATGTATATATGTATATATATATATATATATATATATATATTATCCCAGCGAAACACCCCATTAGCTTAGGTGTGGCGGCTGAGAAGCGCCGCCGCTGATGATGCCGATGATGGTGACGAAGCCCTCGATGCTGATTGGTGTCGCTGCTGTTCCTGCTGTCGCTGTCGCTGCTGCTGCTGCTGGGAGGGGGCGGCGATGAGGATGATGGGCGCGATGAGCGGAAAGTATGTTTCGAATGCGCTGGAAGACCTTTCTGCCGCCCCAGCGGAGTGGCGCGAACGCCGTCCGCTACAGCGCAGGCCGAGCAACGCCGCGGTCGCGAGAGCACGAGCGAAACAGGCTGAATAGCACCGCGGTCGCGAGAACATGGTCGCAACAAGCTGAGCAACACCGTGGTCGTTTGGATCGCGCGCTCCCCAGCGAGCCAGTGGCGGCCGATGGACATAATCATCCAAGCGCATCGTCGGCAATGTCGCAAGGGCTGCAAGGCAAGTGGCGCGGGGCAGGGCGAGCAACAGCGCGGTCGCGAGAGCATGGGCGCAACGGGCTGAGCGGTATCGTGGTCACGAGAGCATGGCCGCACAAGGCTGAGCAGCGCCGCAGTCGCGAGAACATGGCCGCGACAGGCTGAACAGCACCGCGGTCGCGAGAGCGCGGGCGCAGAACCGGCGCAGGAGGGGGCGTAAAACTGCGCGCCTCCGTCCGTCGGCAGGCTATCATGCACCGCGGCGAAACAGCAGTCCGTCGTTTCAATCCGCGCAGGGATCCGGAAGGCTCCCACTATGGTGGGTGCACCGTGGAGCGCGCGGGCCGCCTTCGCGGGCGGCTGGTCAGCGAGCCCCGCGTTCGCCGCGCGGGGGCGCCTCTCAGCTGGCGCGGGGCGCGCGCCGACGGCGAGGCGGCGAAGGTGCCGCGCGCGCTCCGCCGCGTCTTCGACGCTGTCGCTGTCAATCTCATGCAGAGCACGGGAAGGAGCAAGTCGCGCTCGGGGTCTGCGCGCGCGGAACTTCTCGCCGGGCGGCGGGGGCAACTCGAACGCCGCGGGTCCGTTCGGCGCGTGGAAGCCAATGGCGGCGCGAGATCCGGGCGGGCCGATCGTCGCGCCCTCCGGACGCGCGCTGTCAGTGACCTGGGCGGCGCGATCTTGTGCCCTGAGCCCCCCGCTGCTTCGCTCGATGACTTCGTGCCGCTGGCCGCGAGCGCCGCCGCGCAGAGCGACCCCGCCCCTGGCGCTCCGTCGCGGCGCACTGTGGAACCGCAGTGCGGGCCCGGGCGGGTGGCCGTGATTTGCGCGAAAGCAGCGCCTTCGTCGCGCTGCGGGCAGTAGTTGAGGATGGTGGGCGCGCTCTCGCGGGGCCGGCTGGGCGCGGGCTCGCGCGCCCATGGCGCGCCCTCTGCTGCCTCCAACGCGTGGCCCGCGTGCGCGGGGGGGGGGGGGCCCGACGCCCTGGCAGGCTGAGAAGCTCCGCGATTTGCGCCCCCCGCGCGCGCGAATTGCGGCGGGGAGCTCCGACGTGCAATCCAGGCAGGCCGCGCAGGACACTCACTGGTTGAGGCCCGCTGATGGCGCGCGCCTGCGCCTACGGAGTCCAAGCCGTTGTGAGCGGCATCGCTTCGGAGTCGCTGAGCTTGCGAGCGTCGTCAAGGAGACGCCGCGCCTTCGCGCGCCCCGGCGAAACGACCGGGAACTCGGGGTCCAGTGCGTGATCTTTCGGGTCTGCGCGGGCGGCTCGGATGGCTAGCCGCGCTGAGTCGTTGGGTTGAAAAACGCCGGCGGCTTGCCGACGTCCGCCTCGGCGGCGCGGGCCCTCCTCTCGCCGAACAGACTTATTGCGATTTCGGCGATGGGCCCTCCCCGAGCCACTGCAGAGCAAGCCGCCCGCGAGGACGGGGTCCGCAATATTCCGGTCGCCCCGCGTCGAGCGCGCGTTGGGCATGTCCAGTGCGAGGGCCAACGGGGGCAAGTTGCGACCTGCGTCGATGTCCGCCACGTCTGCCACCGAAGTGGGCCGAACGGGGCGGGCGCCGGGACGCGCGGGGCAGCGTCTGGAGTCATTGGTTCCATGGTGGATTTGAATGCGTCGGCCCTGGCGCGTTCAGGCGTGGATCTGAAAGCGGGCTGCGTGGAAGTATGGAGAGAGCTTTCGGTCATCCTCCAAGGAGACCCGCCTCTGAACTTCGCCTGCGATTCATTGCGCATGGCGTCGGAGGTCTTGGCGGCGCCGATGAAGTGATCCCCCTCTGTCGCACCCACGCAAAGCGCACCTGGAACCTTGGTCCCGTGCATCCGTGTTCCGCCCCTCTTCGACGCGCATGAATAGGGGGCCACTCTTCCGCGCGTGGCGCGCGCTGTCCAAGCGGCGACCCGCGCGCTGGATTTGCCGAGTTGCAACAGGGTGCCGATGGGGGGCCCGGCCCTGCCATGCGTTGCAGGCTGGGAAGCGCCGCGGGCAGCGGCGGTCCCAGCGGGTCTTTGGCGATATTGGGCTAGGGCGGCGACCCGATCGCGGCCCGCGGGCGCGGCGGGGGAGCGCGGCGCACGATCAGAAAGTCGCGCGGTAGAAAACGAGGCCAGAGATACGGGGGACAAGAAGAGCATGTTCATGGTGATGGCGTTGCAGATCAGCGCAGTGCAGTACATCGCAGTGGGGGCGGCATCAGCCGGGGAACTACATGACTAAAGACTACAGACTAGAGAAAGTTCAGCGAGAGCAGCGCTGCGCCGCCACCTTGACGCCATCGTGCCATCGCGCAGCAACAAAGACGCGGGCGGCACGAGTACGAATGCGGCTCTCTGAACCAACGCTGTTGTACAACCGCCGCTCCTCGAGCCATTTGTCACCTCGGAACTGCGCGAGAATGGTGGCCCATGAATTGTGCTTCCGGGACATCTGCAAGTGCTCATTCCAATTCGCCACTCGCTTGCAATGCTTCGTGATCCATCGGCCCCTCTGATCCATGATGGCTGCGGCCTGTCTGCCCCACCTTCTCGCGCATTCGACCGGGCCCTCGTGGGCGCGAGGAGGTGCCCGCATGATGGAGCTGACCATCTTCCGTTGGGCCGTGTCGATTTGCGTCTGCCTCGGGCTGGTTGGTGGCCAGCGTGTGCCGCGATGCTGCGTGATAGGCGATGATGCTGCTGCTGGTGCTGTTGCTGCTGCCGCTGCTGCTCCTGTCGCTGCTGGTGTTTCTGCCTTTGGTGCTGGTGCGGTTCCCTGTGCTGATGCTGCCGCTTCTGCGGCTGCCCCTGCGGTCTCTGCTGGCCCTGGCCCTGATCCTTCTCCTGGCCCTGCCCCCCCCCCCCGCCCCTGCTCCGGCGCCCGGGAGAGGGGGGGGGAATCGCGGGAAAGTGCGGGCGGGACAGCACCAGGAGCGCGAGGCGCACGGGGGA